AGTGTCCCCATACCCACACGCTGACGTCCTGGGGCCCAAGGCCTCAAAACGCGGAGCCTTAGAGATGAGCTTTAAAGAGCGGCTAAATTAGATGAGGCTGTTGGTGTGTGTGGGCCTGGACTCAGTCCGTCTGATGTTCTCGCGAGATGAGACTTGGACACACACACACACACACACACACACACACACACACACACACACACACACAGAAACTCCAGGGGTGAAGTACGAGAACAGAGATGCAGAGGAGAGCCCGAAGGGTGGAGGTGCAGGGGGCCGGGAAGATGGAGGTGCAGGAGGCCTGGAGGATAACAGTGACCCGGCTGGCTGTGTGACCACACCGTGAGAATGAACAGTAAAGAGAGGCAGGGACGACGAAGGAGATGAGGGAAGGGAAGGCTTCTCATGCTGGTGAAGGTACATGGAGACCAGGATTCTCCTGTGCAGAGATTGTCTTTAGAAAGCTGCGGGGAGATGCGCCCCACCGCAACAGAGATGGGTCATAGGCGAAGCCAGAAAAGGGGACCCGCCAGTGGAGAAAGCACAGGACTTTGCTAATAACTAAGGGAGCTTTGGCAATACCTGTGACCCACACAAACGGAGACAGTCATGTTAAGGGAAGGGAGCCGATCTCGGGATGACGAATAGCAGGTGATTTCTCTCATCTGCGGTTGCTGCGTTTCATACAGCCACATAAAATCATGAATGATACATGACGAGAAAGCGGAAGTGAAACTCTCTGGGGGGCGGGCAGAGGAGACTGATGGGAAGAAGAGGAGAGGGAAGGGGAGGGGGGGAGGATTTTGCAGACAAAACACTCATACACATGAAAATTTTTAAAACATCTAAAAAATGTAAAACAAAAAAACCCTAAACCAACAAAGTTCCCTGTTGTATATTATTCAAATATATATATGTATATGTATATGTATATTCACTATAACAAGCCAAAAATAATGGGTAAGGCAAAGAAAACGAAGGGGCTGGAGAAAGGGCTCGGGGTGGAGAGCATAGTGATCTTACCGTTCTTGCTGTGCGTGCATTAGAACTGTGATTCCTACCTCCAGGCTGCTATGGTCACAAATCTGTACTCATACAACAAATACATAATTTAAAAAAATTTTGGCTAGGCTGGAACTTGCTTTGTAGACCAAACTGGCCTTGAACTCACAGAGCTCCTCCTGCCTCTGCCTCCGGAGTGCTAGGGCTAACGGGCGTGCGCCACCACCCCTGGCCTCTGTTCACTTTTTGAAGGGCTCTTTGTTCACCCCCAGATGGACGGAAGGGCTGCTAGCCAGTCCCGTGTGTTTGGCGATTGCATTTGGCTCTTCTGCTCATCATCACAACTCAACGCCTCAGTATGTCTCTGGGAATCCCAGCTTAATGTGAGTTTCTCTGGATTCCTTCCCCGAAGTCACTGGAATCCCACCAATACCAATGTCCACGGAACCAAAGTGAATGTGTAGAAGCCTGTGTGGGTGCACATCTAACCTGTAGCCTTAGCCCAGTCCCAAATCCTACCTCAGCTCCAACTCTAATCCCAATCCAAACCCAAACCTAACCAAATCCCATTGCCACGCAAACCTTAATCTCTGGTTCAGGCACACCTCAGATGCCACCTCCCCAAGGAAATCACCAAGATCTCAGATGGACTGAACGTCTCTGCCCTTCCCTCATTCTCCTCTTGCCACCAGGCACATGGTTGGCATTTTTAATTATCTGTATATGTGACTTAGTATATAAGGTTAAACTTTATAATTAGCTAACATGAATGTTTCTGAAGCCACTAGAGGCAAAAATCTGTGCCCCTCTCTGACTGGTGTCCCTGGGGCCCAGTGGGGAGAGACAAGGTGGCTCTCAGTTTCATTCTTTTTTTGTTTTTGTTTTTTGTTTTTCGAGACAGGGTTTCTCTATGGCTTTGTAACCTGTCCTGGAACTAGCTCTATAGACCAGGCTGGTCTCGAACTCACAGAGATCCGCCTGCCTCTGCCTCCCGAGTGCTGGGATTAAAGGTGTGCGCCACCACCGCCCGGCTTTCCATTTCATTCTTGATGCACAAGCAGATTGAGTTCAAGTGTTGTGGACATTGGAAATTCTTCTGCGTGTTGCCTACACTCTAACATGGATAACTTTCCGGGTCTCTTCCAAAGGAAGAGGTCCCTGGACCATCTCAGGGTCAAGCCATGCCTTCCTCTAGGAAAGGACAGCAGGAATAACTGTCTCCTGTTGGGGTCCCCTCCTAGCTGTGGGAAGGGCTTTAGGAAAGAAGGGGAGGCTCCTGGAGTAGCCGAGACAGGCTGCTGCAGCAGTTCAAGGTTTTCTCAGTGACAGGCTATGACTCTTAGGTCCAGACCACAGATTGGCCCTGGCCATGACGGGCACTGCAGCCATGGGAGTCCCTGGCCCATACCACAGCTATAAGATCTAGAGCCCAGGCACAGCCCACAGTGCTGGACCAGGTGCTCCGTGGGGTGTGGCTGTGGTTACTGTGGAATGAAGGGGACTCCACTTCCCACGGCTTGGGCTGGTGCTCACAGGCTGGGACTTGTGGGCACAGAAATAACTATTTATGAACAACATGGATGTGGCCCGACTGTGGCCATGGACTCAGCTGGCATCCGGAGTCTGTTTCTGTAGGAACACACGGGTCCACAGACGTAGATTCTGGTTGAGAGAGGCTCTTAGAGTGGAGAGAGGCATTAGCTCCAAGCAGCTAAGGGAGGACAAGACTCTTGCGACCCTGCTCAAGTTGCCTCCATAGTGAGGCTTCTCCATTGCCAAGGCATTAGCTGTGGGCAGCTCTGGGGGTTCTCTGTCCCCTGCACTTCCTTCTGGGACAAGGGTGTCACTATGAGTGGGAACAGTAAAGGAGACCTGGAGGATGTCAACAGCACCCACTGTATTTGGTGCTACAAGCTGCATGTCTGTCCCTCACCTCTCTGGCTTCCAGAGTCATTGGAACCTTAGCCCTCAATATCATAGGATATGGAGGTTGTGGAAGACCATTAGGTCAAGAGATGAAGCCTTCATTATTGGGATTTGTGCCCTAACAGACCCAAATCAGTTGCCTGGACCTCTGCTGTGTGAAGGCACGAGGCACGTTTCTATGATTGGGAATTCATCCCTCAGAAGCATCTCAGCATCACCAAAGATATCTTTGGTGATGAGCCCACCTGTGTACCCGGTTATGGCGGCTCAAATGGAAGAAGACAGCTGGCATCCTCCTCAACACCCAAAAAGGCCAGTCCAGCCACGCAAACTATTTGCAAATGACCCCCACCCGCCTGGCACGACAAGGAAACGCGGGCACAGCTTGTTGGACTCCCATGGCCTCAGGCTCTGCTGATTTGGGACTGTCCTTGTTGGTCTAGTGGTGTCTTATAAAAGCAAGAGATGGATATTCAGCTGTAGAAGCCATCGCCACGGCTCCAGCGAGTTCCTCACGTTCAGAAAGGACAGTGCAGCTCCACTGGAGGTTTGTGTTCCGCGTTGCCAGGCTGCGCCAATGCAACTGCGTGGTGACTGACTGTGCTCGGAGTTTTCTTCTGTTTCTCTCCCAGGAGGATTACAATATGCCCTTGAAAGGAAACCGCTCTCAGCAAGCCCGCCCCTACATCTAAGCGTCCTCTGGATGAAGGGTGTGGCTCGCTGGGAGGATGGGAGGTTCTGCGGGACCCCTCTGTGGATAGCAGGAAAGCTGCCCCTGCCTCAAAGAGTTGGGTCAAACACTGGGAAGCCAAGCCAAGAGCGGTGTCACAGCAGCCTCCCAACCCCTCCCTGCCAGGCCACTGTCCTTCCTCCCCGCAGAGTTCAACTTGTGACAATTATGACCTTCAAGTGTCACCACTAACAGCTGCTGGGGAGCCTGGGTGAAGGAGTCTCTGGTCTAGGACGCTCTCTGAAGGAAGGTTTGAAGAAAACCCTCCTGTCTCTTGGCCTCACACTGTCTCTGGCTGGTGTGTGTTTCTGAGGGGTGACACTGTGCCCAGAACCCCACTCCTCGTCGCCAGGAGCTCATGGCTCTGTCCCATTGATATTTTCCCCTCAGACGTTATGTTCACATCTACACTGCACAGTCAGATCTATTTCACACCGACATCTTTTTAGAAGATGGTTTCTCCTTATCTTCTAGAGGGGTCTGGTCTGCTAGACGAACACAGAGACACATCCCAGCCCCGCAGTGAAATCGTATAAAATCCGGCTGTGCGTATGAAAACACCAGTGTTCTCCAGGATATGCTGGCATTTGGGGACACTCTAGCCACTGGGATTTCAGCCATGCTTTTCAGTGGCCGGAGAGCTAAGTCTCACCTGGAAAGTCCAAGGCTGACCCTCTCTTGTATCTTCACACTGTTGGGTATGATCACCTTCACCCCGACAACACAGATCTACTGAGCATTTACTCTGAGCCACAGAACTGAGAGAGTTTTGTATCTCCTTCTGCCCGTACCACAGCTGAGGTCAGGGGTGGCTTTTGCCTGGACACAGGCACTCAAGCTGCTTGCGGAGTGGCAGGCAGGACTCCGCTCTTAGTTTTCCCTCAGAAGAAACTCTGACCTGGTGAAGCCACCACCATGTGCCACTTCAGGAGTCCAGGCCTGGCTCAGATGCAGGACCGATTGCAGTCAATGAATGAAAAGAACTTGGTCATGATGTATGATCTTCTTAATGCGTTCTTAATGTCTTCTTAAAAACTTATTGGTACATTATTTGTGTGTAGAGGTCAGAGGACAACTTTCAGGGATCAGTTCCTCCTGTCTACCAAGTGGGTCCCGGGGCTCAACTCAGACTGTCACATTGGCAGCAGGTGCCTCTACCAGCTGAGCCATCTTGCCAGTCCTCAATGTGTTCTTAAATCCTATTTGTAAAAGCTTTATTGCAAGTTTTTGTACCTATGTCATCAGGGACATCAGTGTAACATTATTGTATCTGTTGTTTATCTATCTGGTTTGGGGGATAGGGTAACCAGGCCTGGGTGAAAAAGTGCTGGAAGACACAGGGTTGCTTGCCACTTTTCAGAAGTTTTATTACAAAGAGGTCTGAGCAAAGCACGGGGGCACCAGGACGGACAATGCAAGGGCCGGGAGACAGCTGCGAACAACACGAACCAAAGCCTAAACCAAACCCAAACCCCAAACCACACACACTTGGGAGACACCACAATGTTGTTCTCAACTTTTCTTCATAAATAGATGGCCAAAATCGTTGCTGGCAATTTTAAATAGGTGGATATATGATCAAAAAAAAAAAAAAAGAAAGAAAGAAAAGAAAAAGAAGAAAGGAGGAGGAAGAGGAGGAAAAAGAAGAACATGAAAAGGAGGAAGAAGAGGAGGAGAACGAAGAAGAGAAAGAGGAAGAGAAGGAGGAGAACGAGGAGGAGGAGGAGGAGGAATAAAAAGAAGGCGGCGGCCCTGGATGTGGCTTAAAAGCGCCCATTCTCTCTGTGTGCAGATAAGAATCAGTTTGACAGCTGTTTGCGCACATGTCTCCCTTAAGATAAAACTTCAAAAAAAAAAAAAAAACTGTGCTAAAGGTCTTATAAAATTTTTTTTTTACTTTCTTTCTCCCCACAAAATAATCTTACAGATGTCTTCAGCACGGTTCTAAAACAGTGAACTACTTACACGGAACCCACAACGCGTGGGTTTCAGCATCTTTTGTGTACACCGAGAGCACACGTGTAGCTGGCCCAGCATCTGGGGTGGGTGTCTGTTGCAAAGCAACCTCGAGGGGGGGCAGCCCGGTGAGCTTGGGCTGGGGCCAGAAGTCCAGACGCAGGGGACTGTGTGCAGGCCAAGGAGTGGGGTCCACAGCTACCCTGGAGCAAGCAGGTCAGCGGGCAGAAGGTTCCTGCAGGTTCTTTGGGCTGGTGGTGGGCGGTGGGCTGCCTCTGCAGAGTCTGGTGGGAGGTCGAGGGAGAGACTCAGCCCTGGGGCATAGGTGTATCACTGCTGGCCGGTCACCCTGCCTGCTGCCATGGCCTCTCTCCTGCGGTCAGCCCTTCCGGCTCGGAGCAGTGCCCTCCGGAGAGCCTCAGGGAGGGAGGGGAGGCGGGATTAGGTGAGGTAGAGCGATTTATCTCTGGGGAGCAGGCTGCAGGAGAGAGTAGGGGCCGTCAGCCACTGGAGCCCACCCTGGCACCCCGGCCCTGTGTCCCTCACTCTCATCAGCTGTCTCTGAGGCTGAAGGAGGGGCTGCCCATCAAGCAGAACCAAGCACCCCTCCTGGCATCCTGCCAGGGACCACCTAATTATTTTTTTTTTTATCATTTGTTTCCTGTCTACTGTGTTTGTTTGTATTTTGAGACAGGAGCTTATGTATCCCAGGCTGGCCTTGAACTCGAGATGTAGCTGAGGGTGATCTAGAACTTTTGATTCTCATGCTTCCATCCCAACCTCTACCCTGAGTTCTGAGGTCCTACCTATACATCACCACACCAGGTTTGGCGGTGCTAGGACCAAATCCCGAGCTTTCTTCATTCTAGGCAAACGTTCTACCAATTGAGATATGCCCCAGCACACCCCGCCCCCCATCATGTCTACATTTAATCATCTGTGCACTTCAAACAGAATTACAGGAAAGTAGACACCTTCCTCTCTGCAGAATACTGCACAGGGTGAGCCAGATATGTTGACCTGTGCCCGTGGGAGGATGAGACAGGAGGCTCACGAGTTCAAAACTAGCCTGGGCTACATCGAAAGACTTCACATTTAACAAGCAAGACTAGAACAGGCTGTTGAGGATCAAACATTGTCACCCAGGGGAGAAGTTCAGATACAATGTACTTACTCCTCCTTGGCCCTGACTTTTGGGAAGGGAAACTGGGTGAAAGGGAAGGGCCGGGGGAGAGTCTGTGCCTGCGTGGGCTATGAAGGGAACCCTGCCTACCGGAGTCTGCACACCTTCAAGGGCTCTCCCTAGAAGGTCAGGAGTGGGGGCAAGGGCCAGGAACACTAGCAAAACGAGGAGCCCATGCTGGAAGGCTGGTGGCCAGGAATGGGGACACACTGCCTGGTGATGGAGATGGCCACTGTCCGCTAAATACTCAGACCTCCCCCCTCCATTTGTGAAAACATGGGACAAAAGAAGAAAAGGCATGAACCAAGGCCAGCCCCAGTTTCCCTGTTGGCCTGGGCATCCAATCAGCTGCACCCCCCTGGAGCTTTACTCTGATCTGTGTTGTTCCCTGTACTCTAAACATCCACCACGTGGGCTGAGGGTGCCTACTTCACATTCCCCCAGTGTCCCCCTGCCCTCCTGCCACCCCTGCCCCTATCAGGAACGGACTGTGAAGGGGATCTGAGGAGGACTGACCTGCAGGTGCCGAGGCCGCGCTCCCCGCTGGAGTAACTCCCATCCCAGTCCGCGCTGCTAGAAGGGTTGGATGGGCCAGGTGAGCGGGAGCCAGAACCACTGGGGAACTCAGAGATGTGTGGGAAATCCTACAGGGGAAGGAGGGGTGGGCGGTGAGCAGAGGAGAGATGAAGGGGAGCCTCTCCAGCAGTTGGCGTCATCTTTGTGTGTTTGAGGGTGTCTATGCTTCAGAGACACATCCTGGGTCCATACAGAATGACCACTCTGCCTCTTTCTCTTTCTCCCTAGTAGAAGATCTTTGGGAAAATTCAATGTGAGCTGATTGTGTGTACCTGCCTGGTGTGTGTGAGACTCTGGCTTCCACCCCCAGCATGACAGAGAAGAAAAGGAAAGAAAAGTGAAAACGAAAATCCAACTCGTCTCAGTTTGGAGAGGAGGTGGCTTTGCTTTTGGTTTTTTCCCCTTTTCTGACTTTAAAATGGGGTTACTGTGCTGCATGCCTGTGCTGGAACCATTTGTGGAACCATCACTGGAAGCTAGGGCTTTGGAGATTGCAAACGAGCTGGGACAATCTGGCAGAGGTCACAGTGGTCTAAGAGAAGGTTCTGGAGCAAAGCTTAGTTGGCAACTAGCCAACTGTCTGGAGTAGCCAGTGTCTCTCTGGGTAGGTAGGTGTTCTAGACCCATTTCAGAGAATTGAAAACTGAGGCTTAGAGAGGTACAGTGCTGTGGCTGATGTTGCACAGCTGGTAAGTGGCCCGGCCAGTATATGACCCCCCCCCCCAGCTGCCTTCCCTCTTGGTGAGAGTCACAGGCGGCGGCGGCTTGGCCCTGCTTACCTGTGGCCCTGGAGGCGAGGGGCTCATTGCCAGCTGCACCTGGAGTGCCATGGAGGCAGGCAGGACAGGAGGCTGAGGGGCAGGGGACATGCTGAGAGGCGGGCTGAGGAGAGCGCCCTGCGCGTGGGGGGGCAGTGGCAGCTGCTGGTGCAATGAGGGGCTGAGAGGAAAGGAGGGTGGTGGGGATGTGCTGAGGCCTGGCAGCAGGGCCTTGGAGCCCAGCGTCCTGGCCAGGTTGGCGGGAGAGGCTCCAGTGCGGAAGGCCTGCAGGTCCGAGGGCGTCAGGAAGGAAGCCAAGCCAGGCATGGCGTACATGGGCTGCTTGGGTGGGAGCATTTTGGCTGGTGGATTTGCCTGGGCAGTCTTGGCCTCGCCTTGGTCCGGAGGGCTCTGGAGGAAGACAGAAGCCAGGGATAAACCAGAGATAGGGCAGAACCTGGACTGTGGACTAGGTAGGCCTGCAGCCTGCAAGGCCTCTGGACGGCTCTGTGTTGTGCTATGGGGCCGGCTGTGAACTAATAAACCATAACTATGCAGGGATGTGTGGGTACACGGTTTTAATCAGGCAGTCAGCCCCACCTTTACCCTCATGTGGGCTCCCCTGGAAGTATGGTCCCGCTATCCTCACCCTGGCAGCAAGATCAATGCCAGCAATGAGCCATGCTCTGTTTATGCCCTCCCAGCCTCCCACCTTTGCCCATGCGATTCTCTCAACTCTGTAAACACCCTTTGCTTGGCCCTTTCGAGCCCAACCCAGGTGTCATTTTCTTTGTGACAGCCTCCAGGACAATGCTCTGCCTCCTTTGGGGCCTCGGACCCACCCCTTGCCCCTGTGCTCCTGGTGTGCACAGAGAGGTAGAGAGCATGGTCAGGAGTTAGGACAGTGACGCCGCGTTGGAACCTACAACAGCCACTCACACGGCCAATCCCAGGCTCATTGCGGAGCCCTCTGAGTGCTAGCCCCTCCTGCTGAAGGAAGCTAATGAAATGAGCCTCACATGAAGCCTGCCACACTGGAGGTGCTCCCAAGGTGTGACGCACGTGCGTCGCTCATCCGCTCTGAGCCCCAGCCTTTGCTCTGTCCCTCCCGTGGTACACTCTCATCAGGACGGTGCCTAGGAATTTAGTTACCTTGGAGACGAGGCTAGCTCGGTAGGCCGCCAAGGCTTTCAGGTACTCCTTCTTGGCAGCTTCGGTCTTCCTCTTATATGCCTGAAAGATCCGAGACATTGGGCAACTCTGGAGAAAACGTCACAGAGGAGCCACAGTGCAGAGGCTGGGATGATAAGGGGGGCTTCCAGGGCCAGGCATGGATGAAGGTTGTGGGGACAGAGGCCAGGATACCCTCCAGTTCCTCAGCCGTGATGTTGGTACAAGTGACGACAGAAAGACAAGTCACCCAGAAGCCTCTCTTTGGCCCAGAACACCACCAACACCTTAACGCCGCACTATCTTTGTATTCTGACACGAACCCGGCTCTCAGGTGATGCCTAGCAAAGCCAGGGTTCACCCGGCGCCCTTGCAGCCCAGGTGGGTTAACAAAGACAAAGGGTTGGCTCCAGAGCTCCTCTTGCCCATGGTGGGAATTCTCTGACAACGTCCTCTGCCTTCCCTGGCTTCTTGTCTCCACTTCTTTCTAGCGGGTTTTAGAGCATCTCTTAAACTACCTGCCCTCAACTAGTCTACAGAATCGCCACACTGCCAAATAGGACCACAACTCACATCTGTGGCCCAGCTTGCTACTGCTCTGGGCTTCCTACAGGCCCCATGCACAACATCTCCATTCCCTGCGGTGCAAGGCAGAATCCAAAGGAGTCCCCACCACACCCTCCACTTTCAAAAGAGCCAATGGATGGTGACTCCCAGGGGTGTTGTAAAGATGGATGTGGTGATGGAGGGGGGATCCCCACGGCGCTTAGCCTAGGCGTGCTCCAAGCATGGTAGTCAGTAGGTAGGGAAGCCAGGACTCAAAGAGTTTAGGCAGTCAATCTGAAGTGAGTAGCTGGTAATGCATTTCCAACCACAGGAGCCGGCTCATCTTCCTTCTGCCTGGAGGCCTTCAGAGAGCCCACATGGCCAGTGGAGCAGAAAGGACCGAGTTAAGGGAACTGCTGGATGGAGACGTTCCCTGGTTTATGGATGGGGAACCAGGGGCCCAGCAAAGGTGGTAGAACACAGCACTGGAGGTCAGCAAGGATGGAAGGAACGCGGCTTCCCAGCTTATAGATGAGCAAACAAAGCAGCAAAGCCCCTTGCAGGAGCCTCTAGCCCCAGAGGCCAAGCCTGGTATCACACTCTTGGTTCCAGGGCCCCAAGTCTCAGGGACAACTTAGAAGGGGACCAAGGCTCACCTGTTTCTGCTCTTCTCCCAGGCTGTCCCACATGGAAGCCACTATTTTGGACACATCCCCAAAGGTGGCACTGGGATTCTGCCCCTTGATGGCGGCCTGAGTGTCTCTGAAGAAGAGAGCGTAGGCTGACACTGGCTTTTGTGGCTCATTGGGGTCCTTCTTCTTCTTCTTCTTTGGGTTCTTGGCCTTTTTGCCTGGGTCTGCTGAGGGTCTCTTCTCTCCCGAGACCTGCCAGGTGGGAGGAGTCGGTAAACTGAAGAGGTCAAGGGGCTCCTAGCCAAAGTGACTCTAGCTAACCTTGGGCTGAGCTAGGCTTTCTCGGCAGCTTACCTCAGACCCATCTAGTCCTGTTCTCTCCCAAGCAGAGAAAGGGCTGCCCAGCCAGGGGTTCATACCCAGGCAAGGATTTAGGGTAACTCCCCCAGGAATATGTAGAAATAAAGGAAGGCAAAACAGGGGGAGGAAAAAACAGGGGAAGAAAAGAAGAGGTAAGGGAGAAGGGTGAGTAAGACAGAAGTCATCCCCACTTGGCTTCTGTTGTAGGCCAGGGTATCCTCAGAATGATGCCGGATCAAATTGAGAAGCATACAGACCCCTGGTCAGTTTAGGGCCTCCTGTCATGGACACTGTGGCTGGACCCTGGGCCTCTTCAGGGCCAGTATTGCCTGGAGGAGAGGGTCTCCAGCAGATTCAGCAGCCACAGCCTGATGTCCCAAGGGCTCAGGTGCCAGCCCTCTGACCAGAGGTCCACACGCTGACTCTTGGTTTCCAACGAAAGACTAAACCTCCTTTCTAGTCTTTTCCAGAGGGTCATGGTGGAATGACCTGGCAGAGCCCCTTCTCCACTTGGGAAGATAACCTGGTAGCTACACCCTTCCATTTTACGCACCTTGAAATGGGCATCTGACTCCTCCTCCTGTGTGGAACTGGATGGAGAGGGGGTCGCTGACTTGCTCCCTGGGGGTGATGGGGAGCTGTGGGCAATGCCACTCCGGATGCCCATCTGGGAGATGAGCTGGGACTGGCTCAGGGCACTCATGTGGCTGGCCAGCATTGCTGGACGGCCCAGAAGAGGCCCTGGCCTGCCGGAGTCATAGGCAGCTACCTCCGAGTGGACCATCTCCTGGATCTGAGAGAAGACAGGATGATTGCGTTAGAAGGCTCTGCCTCGCCAAATGCTGCACTTGCCTCTCGGGCTCAGAGGAGGAACCTGTGGATGAGAGGAGGCAAGTGGCCATTTCCATACTGGCCTGTGCTTCCCACAGGGATCCCCTTAGGAGGATCTCAAGGTGGAGCGCCATTCTCCCCGGACCTCTGCATAGTGCAGAGCACCTGCGAAGCCCCGAGGGTCCCTTGGCTGTAAACGGATCATCTCATGATACATGCTCCATCCTGAACACAGCTCTGCCTTGTCTGCTGTGTGACAATGAGCAGCCACGAGCGCAGATGTTGGAAGCCCACTTCTTGAATCCCGGCCCAGGCGCTGGCCAGGTGACACTGGCCACGATTGACCTCACTGGGCCTCAGCTTCTTCATCTGTAAGATGTGTAATCAGATTGCTCCCCAGGATCTAGAATACTGTGTACTCTTGGCCCAAACAGACACAGTACAGATGCGTGATTCATGGAGGCTTATGTGAACAATCTTAGAATTATTTTTTATCTCCTCTGCATTTGTTATTTATTCTGTCCGATTTCTAATGTTAAGCACCCCCTTGTTCTCAGCTTTTCCTTCATTAAGCAAGCAAGTGGCTTTCTATTTTATGTGGGGTTCACAACTTCTCTTTAAAAGCGTGAGATCTTGCTGGGCAGTGGTGGCGCAGGCCTTTAATCCGCACACGGGAGGATCAATCCAACTGTCTCCATTTCATGCCTCCCCATAAACGTTCCTCCATAGCTGGCTAGCAAGATTAGCCATGTCTCTGGTGTCACTGAGCTCTGTGTGTGACAGAGAAGAGACAATGGGGGATAATTCCTGCCATCAAATTCAGATGATTGTGACCACTCGAACATGCATGCACACACACGCACACACACACACACACACACACACACACACACACACACATACACAAATGAAGAAAGAAAAACCCGAGAGGAGTGGAGGAGAAGTACGATGGTGGCCTCTGGCTTGCACACACCCACTATGCATGGGCGCCTTCACGCCCACTCTCCCTACAACTCAACTCTTATTTTAATGCTAAAAAATGTCCTCGAGTGTTTCTCATAGACGTTACTGTGAAAGTTTTTAAATTTTTCATCATTTTATGTGCATGGCTATTTTGCCTAAATTCATGTGTGTGCACTACTTGTGTGCCTGGTCCCCTCAGGGACCAGAAGAAGGTGTCAGATTCCCTGGGATTGGAGAATCCAGTGGAGAGTTGTGAGCTGCCATGTGAGTGCTAGGAACTGAACTGGGGTCCTCTGCAAGGGCAATAAGAGCTCTCAACTGCTGAGCCATGTCTTCCTAGCACTGGGGGAAAAGTAATTGATGTTCATTCTGTCACATAAAAAATCCCCAGTGTTTATTGAAGGACTGTTTTGACATCGGCTGTGAAACTGAGGAAACTGAGCTAGAGCCTAGCGTCCCTCCTGCGTCCCCATCAGTTCTCCAGAGCATTTGGAGTGAAGGGGTTTTCTTCAGGTGTGCTGACGTGAAGCCATCCAGATGTCCCAGAATGCTCTGTCTTCATGAAGGCTTCTCTTTATGCATAGAAGCATTTTTGCTCTGATGAAAATGAATGCTTCTGCCTCCCATCCTACTCTGTCAGCTGTTGTCATGGTTTCCTTCGTGTTTTCTTCTCATCCTGCACCATTTCAGATGTGCATCATGAAAACAGCATATGGGTGAGTGCTGGTCTGCAACCCAGTTCGCAATACATTGTGATCTGTTAGTATGTTAATCGCAGAAACCTGAAAAATAGGCTTAGCAAGCGAACTTCTTTAACGTGTAGAAGGTTTTATGACTGAGCCTCTAAACATCCCTCTCCCTTTCTACCACCAATACAAACATGCCCTTTCTTCTTTGTTTGTGTGTATGTGTGTTTCTTTTAGGCATGGTCTTACTATACAGTCCAAGAGATTTTAAATTCTCTATCCTCACTTCTGGAGACATCACAAATCCCTGACTTCAAATTCTACTACAGAGCCACAGTACTGAAAGACAGTCCGGTATCAGCACAAAAACAGACAGGAGGAGCAATGGAATTGAATCGAAGATCCAGACATCAATCCACACACCTATGAACACCTGATTTTTGACAAAGAAGCAAAAAACATAAAATGGAAAAAAGAAAGCATATTCAATAAATGGTGCTGGCATAACTGGATATCAACATGTAGAAGAATGAAAATAGATCCATATCTATCACCATGCATAAAACTCAAGTCCAAATGGATCAGAGACCTCAACATAAAACCAAGCACCCTGAATCTCATAGAAGAGAAAATGGGAAGTACCCTTGAATCCATTGGCACAGGAGACCACTTCCTAAATATAATCTCAGTAGCACAGACACTGAGAGAAATAATAAATGGGACCTCCTGAAACTGAAAAGCTTCTGTAAAGCAAAGGACATGGTCAACAAGACAAAACAGCAGCCTACAGAATGGGAAAAGATCTTCACCAACCCCATATTGGATAGAGGACTGATCTCCAAAATATACAAAGAACTAAAAAATTAGTCATCAAAAGAACAAATAAATAAAAATGGGGTACAGATCTAAACAGAGAACTCTCAACAAAAAAAAATCTAAAATGGTGGAAAGACACTTAAGGAAACGCTCAACATCCTTAGCCATCAGAGAAATGCAAATCAAAACAACTCTGAGACTCCATCTTACACCTGTAAGAATGGCCAAGATCAAAAATACCGATGACAACTTATGCTGGAGAGGTTGTGGAGTAAAGGGAACACTCCTGCATTGCTGGTGGGAGTGCAAGCTGGTACAGCCCCTTTGGATGTCAGTGTGGAGATTTCTCAGGAATCAAGATCCAGTAATACCACTTTTGGGTATATATCCAAAGGATGCTCAATCGTGCCACAAGGACATGTGCTCAACTATGTTCATAGCAGCATTGTTTGTCATAGCCAGAACCTGGAAATGACCTAAATGCCCCTTGACCGAAGAATGGATAAGAAAAAATGTGGTACATTTACACAATGGAGTACTACACAGCAGAAAAAATAATGATATCTTGAAATTTGCAGGCAAATGGATGGATCTATGCCTGTAGGTGCCTAGCATCTGAGTCAACTCCCCAGCACCAATGTAAGCATTTTTAGACATAAATCTGTTATTAGGTCACCATGACACTATTCCTATCATAATCTACAGAATTACCTTGACTTCAACACCTGTTAAATAATAACTTCCCATTCCTGTCTCACCCGAGTCCCTGGAAAACACAAATCTACTTCCTTTGTATGTGGTATGTGTGTGTGTAGGGTGTATGTACACATGTGTTTGGGGGTGCTCATGCCTCAAGGTTAGAGGAGGGTGTTGGGCATCCGGGTCTATTGCTCTCCACACAGTCCCTTGAGATGGTATTTCTTACTGAACTGGAACTAGGCTGACGGACAGCAAGCCTCAGTAACTGGCCGGCTCTGCTATTCACAGCACTAAAGTCACAAGGACACACCCTGGTCGTGGCTAAGGATGTGAACACATGTACTGTGCTTGTGCAGCAAGAACTCTTACCCACAGAATCATTTCCCCAGCTACTATTAGTTTACTTTCTTTTTCTAGGTACCTCATATCAGTGGAATCATACCATATAAACTTTCTTGGGTGACTGGCTTATTTCCCCTAGCACAATAACCTCAAGATTTATACACTTGTAGCATGAGTCAGAATTTTTTTGTCTTTTTAAGGTTGGATAATATTCTGTTTTATGAACATGCCATATTTTGCTATTTATCTGTTAATGGGCCTTTGGAAGATTTTTTTTTTAAGATCCAAACTGTAATATCAACATTGGATGAGCATCAGGGAGATGGCAACTAATTCGTGTCCATAAAAGCACAAATATATTTTTTCTGGTAGAGATATTGACCCTGCACTATAGAAAAGACGATTCTAATCATCACATTCAATTGCTCTATCACACCAATCAGTTTTCTAGTTCTTAGTACATTTATTCCAGCATCCCCGATTGCTTAAGTGTTTGTCTATTTTTCGGATTCTTCTCTGAACTGAGTGTTACTATCTTACTGGCTTCCTCATTCATACCCAGTTAAATACAATTTTGATACGTTCACATGTTTTGTTTGTATGAAGGTCATAGTTTTACCCTTAGAAATGTATACAATAAAGATAATAGAGAAGAATTTTAAATTCTAGAGAAAGCTGGAGGCTCGCCATCTGAGGAAAGGGACCAGGGCTTATCCACACAATAGAGTGCTTCTCCAAGCCAGCGTGAATGGCTTGAGCCACACTCACCAGTGTGGGTGAATGAAAAAGAGAAGCAAGGAGCAGCTGAACGAGAAGGCACAAGGAGCGAGAGAGGGCTCGGAGGACATAGGCCGCCCCATATCTTTAACTCCTTACGCAAAATGTGTTGCATGGCGATGCTGTGTTCAGAGTGGAGGCCATGAGGGAGAGCTGAACTGGCTCCTCAAGCACCCTTTATTCTGTCAAAAGCAGAGCTGGAGCAGAAGGGTGATCACAGAGGCTTGTCAAAGCAGAATCTCCAACTAGAGGATGATGGGCTCTCGGAAGTCTGGGAGGCAGAAGTGGCTGGCACCCCCATGGCTTAATTGGCCATATTACATATCATGAAACATTTCACATAAGATGATGTCAAAGACTGGGCCCCTCGTCTTCGGGCTAGCTCCAGGCTCTACATTCCCCTTGATTGGCACCCCTTTTCCAGAAACACATCAGGCGGAGTACGAAGAAAATCCTTATTTCTCCCAAAACAGCACATGGCACCATCATTTCTGCAGCTACCCAAGCCACAGACAGGGGAAGTAGCTTCCACCTCCCCCTTCCCAAACACCCCTGGCCTAGCCCTGGACACACTGAGCACTGTTGGCCCCTCTTCATGGTGAGTCCTAAACCTCACACATTTCTCCTTCCGAGAACGGTCACCCTTCTAAGACATGAAAGCCAGGTCCGTCTACCCTTT